AACCCTAAACCCCTATAAACCCCAAGGTCCCCCTGCCTCGAGGGTGGAAGGAGCTTCCCCTCCGCGTCCGGCAGGTCCGGCGGTCGCGGGCACTGCTTCAGCACCTGAGGGGAGGGGTTGCTTGTAAGGGATTCCGTTAAGGGGATGCCTTTAAGGGATGCCATTAATGGATCCCTTCAAGGGATTCCTTTGGGATTCCTTTAAGGAATTCCTTTCTTAATGGATTCTTTTGAAGGTTACAAAAACGAGTCCTTTCAGGATCACTGTAAGGGTTACTATAAAGCCATGCTTAGTATAAGGGATTGCTATGAAGGCTTCTATGGGGCCTCGGACGCTCGGCACTTGAGCTGCTTTGGAGATAACTTTGGGTTCTACACGGTGCTTTGCGGTCTTTAGAAGCTTTCTGTGAATCTATTAACGGTTCGGTATTTTTTTATGTGTGTGTTTGTGTCTTTAGATAGGGTCAAAGGTCCATGGTTGTTTTGAATGCACCTGAACTGCTGAAGGGTTTTATGGTGTTCATGGGCTTTCTTTCCAATGACGTTTCCTAGGGTCTGGGGTCCAGTTTAAGCGATTTTACAGGGGCACATGTCTCGGGTTTTGGAGTTTAGGGTTCGGGGTTTCAGCCAGTTCGGGTTTAGGGCTGTGGATTTAGAAAGGCGGTTTGGGCTTCGGTTGGGCTTCCAAGATCAAGGGACTCGCCGAGTAGATCATATGTAGGATTTTATCCTCCGGTACCGCCCTCGCATAGCCGGCAAAGTCGAGGGTGGCTGGGTGATTGGCTCCGCAAGAATTGGAATACGGTGTTGCGGAGGACTCGTATTATAGTGTGCTACGATATAGGATCCTAGGAAATGCATTCAGAAGCGTCCTGCATGCTTGGACCCTGAGGACCCGTGACCTGCGGGCTCAGGCTTCAAAGCTATCGAGTTGGCGACGAGCAAGATGACCGCCATCTACGACAAGACGAGCACGAACGACGAGGGCGGAACGGTACTGTGACGACAACAGCTTCAGCAAGAGCCTTAAACAAAGCCACCGGCACTTGCACAACGCGAGCAAACCCTAAACCCTACACACACTACCAACCCCCGCCAGGAGGATGATCGAAGTACAGCTCTAGAGCCGAAACCGAAACTTGAAACAACCTTTGCATGTCTCTGTGGGGCGGCTTGCACACCCTACAGCCTGAGATGGAGGCAGTAAGCACAAGCCCCCAAACAACTAAAGAAAAAATTGAAAAATGAACCCGAGAACCCTGAACACCAGACTCTAAGCTCTAAACCCTCAACCCTAAGACCTAATCTCTAAACCCTAATCTCTAAACCCTAGCCGACCTTGCCGTTCTGAGGCAGGGACGACGGGCAGAGCATTCGAGATCTGCTCCCACTTCTCCTCATCCTTAGCTTGTGCCCCGTTTGAAGGTTCTAGGGATCTAGGGCTTTAGGGTTTCAGGGCTCTTCTCGGTTTAGGATTTAGGGATGAGGGTTTAGGGATGAGGGTTTAGGCGTGAGGGATTGTTATTTAAGGGCGAAGGCTTTCGAATCAGGGTTGGGATCAGGGGTTTTCGGGCGTAGGGATGGGGCTTAGTAGGGTTCAGGGATAATTAAGGGCTACTGTGAATGCAAGGCTACCTACCTAAAACTTAGTTAAGTTAAGGGTGC